GCTTCAAGACCAGCGTTGCTCCCACTGAGTGATGTGATGCTACGGACCCTCTTGTACAGGCTGTTTAAAATACTGAAACCACAACTGTCGATATCTTTTCCAAAGATATGCTGTTATTTTCTTACTTCATAGATAACTAATGTATAATAACATGGGTGAAAAAGCAAACATCAAATTATACTTTATATTGGTAATGGGATTCAGGGATTGTAAGACTATGTATTTAACTCATTTCTTTAAAAATGTTAACTATTGTGATTAAGTGACTGAAACTATATAACCATCATCTAAAGAATAACTTGAAAATAATATTATTTATTTGAAGTGATATTCTGATTATCAAGTGTGAATGGCAGATTTTCAGTTTATATGCATATTTCCTCAAAACAAAACTCTTTCCTCCTTAGTACAGTTGCCTGACAAAACCATATTGTAATTAGGCCATTGTAGATGTACTATTGTATTAATATTGATGCACTGGGCTTACTTCCATGGTTTCAATTTTATATGATTTGAATGCATGGAAGAGAGGGAGAGACTTCTTTTTGTTTCAGAAATCAGTTCCTGAGACTCTCTACTATCAGTGAGGAAAAAAGTACTGTTTCTACTAAAATTGAATCTATGACTTTAAGTAAAATGTGCAGAAATAATAACGCCAAATATAATTCCTTCATGGCGTAATGCTAAAATCACCCACCAGATAGGAGCATTTTTATACATAGTATTTATTATTCATTATTTTCCTAAAACACAATTTGTTTCATTTTTCACAAAACCTTTGGAGCCATCTTGATAAGGTGAACAGAAAGCAGAGTCTTTTAAACATTAGGTGATCAACTTTTGGACAACAGCAGGACCAGCATAGCTAATGGAATAATAGCCTGCAGGGTCCGGCTAAATATGATATACGAACGTAATCAAGCCCTGTGATGACTATTCAGGAGTAATCCCTTTAGCTTTGAACTGCGACATATATTTCAACGAGGCGAAAACCATATGAAGAAATTCTCTGCAGACCACACTGATACAATACAGCCTTCATATCCTGCTCTATGTGTTTGCTGTTTATAGTGAGTTTTAAATTTAAGGTAATGACTACTGTATATTCATGTGAGCATACAATACTTTTGATTTGTTGTGGAAAGGTTGAATCCATTACCAGGGGTCTAAGTCTATAAACTCTGACACAACCTTTATGTGTGAGTTATTATTTTTTTTCTAGAATAAGGCCACTAAAAATGCTTTGCATGACAAAATTGTAAAAATTCACCTTTTCAGTTGCAAAACTACCAGGTAGTGTGTCTTCCATTTCAATTCATACTTTTCCATAGATAACACTTTTAAAATCTCATTTATTTATAATACTATATTATTGGAAAGTTACATGCCATTGTTTTTAAATAAAGGGGTGGGGCGGTAGGTTTATTGCAACTCCGCATTTGCTGACTTATTCTATTGCTCTTTGGTACGGTGTGGGCTAAGTGATGGTATAAATGAGATCCTTTTGCTGCTGCTTTGAGGGATCTACCATTTGAGAGTCCTCACTATTAGCAACACATAAGTGCCTGTTTCTACTGAAACGTAGACAGTATAAGCAAATGTCAGACTCTCAACTTTGTCTTGGCCTGGTCTCCCTTGCTACTGTCCTTATCTTCTAGCTTCCTCAAAGTGCTACCAATCAAACATCTCAAATCACACCATCGGTCAGACTCATGGCAGAAAACCTAGGTGAGAAATCAAAACGAGTGCTTTTGTGATTATGGAGCCCAGAGCAAACGACCCTGTGGTGCTCTCCTTGTTGCAAATAGAAGTATCAAGACACCTGAATGATGAGTTCAAGTGTTCTGTGAAAATTAAACATCACTAAGGTTTCCTGGCACAGAGAGAACATCAATGTCTTCTATTTAAACTAGAAGATGTGGCCTAAAACTGAAAGGAATAGCTACAGATACAGCTATTCTTCCCAGAGAATCTACTTGAAAACTATTCGACAATAAAAACCACTATTCCTCATCCTCTGAGGAATGAGTTTAAAACAATTATTTGAGAACACCTAGGCATAATTTCAAACTTAGGAAATCCAGGAAGAATTTCTCCAGCTTGAAAGATACTGTTACACCCTTCCATACCAACAATGCTGAGTGTAAGACATTAGATAGTATAAAGTAGGCACCAAGCAGGTTTCTATGTGTTGTGATGCAATTAAAAATATTAAACTGAGAAGCCCACATTAGTTCTTTACATAAAAGGAATGATAGACCATTCTAGTTAAGGTAACAGCTAAGCTTCCATTACAAGAGTCCTGAAAGTACAGTAGTTTTAGAATATATAAGAATATTTCTTTCCTACTTCTTAAGTGAGCCATCTGTATGTATGGGGTATCCCCATCGACATGTGGGGGCCATGACCTTCCATCTTGTTGCCCATCATCATCTAGGAGAGGGTTTCTCAGTCTTGCACTATTGAGATTTTGACCTGGATGATTTTTTTGTTAGGGAGGAGAGTGGGGATGGATGTGATGGGCATTGTTGGATGTTTAGCAGCATCCCTGCCTCTTCCCACTAGATGCCAGCAACCCTTCCACCTACCACTTGTGATAACCAAAACTGTCTCCAGATATTCCCAAATGTCCCTGGTGGGGCAAAATTACCCCAATTGAGAACCACTAACTTAGGGTATTATCATTGTCTACATGGTGGAAACTGAGTCATAATATAATAGCCCCATGTTCAAGACTGAGGAAAGGGCAAGTTTCTGGAGAAATGAACTCCCTATGTCTACCACTCAGGCCCTGAAACAGAATGTATCCCTCTGCCCACGTTCATTGGTCAAAACTTAGTCTTGTGACTTCAACTAAATATTTCTATGCTGATGAAAAGGATCTAATAGAAAAAACTGATGTGGGAGGCAGAAGGAACCACTGGACCCATGTCTCATGTGGTGGGCAGGAGAGGGTGAGATCTAGTGAGGAAGTGGAAGGGTTGGCCTTCCACGGGAGCACAAGGAAGAGAGAGCAGGGATAGTTACTCTGGACACAGAGCTTGTCTTTTCTTTCCTCCTTGAAATGAGAAAAGACATCATCAGCTGAGAATGATGATGCTAGTGGAGGGTTGGAGGTTTGGAAAATAGAAGAAAAATTTGAATAGACATCTAGGGAAGTAGAAGAATGAAGTGACTAAGAATGTTTAATAGGATCACCTCAAAGCATTAATGGCCATGAATTTAAAGTGAGGCCCTGCTGTATGTTTTTTTTCTGGCCACATCGAGCTATATAGTATATGAGAAGCATGGGTAGAGTTGCATTTAACTGGGTTTATAGTTCTGGGAAGTGAGTGTGACAAAGCGGAAGATCGCTAGTCAGGCTACATGCAAGGGAGTGAATGCCCATGACATTTAAATTGCACGAAGAAGGAAAAGAAGACATCAAAATGGGGAGGAACAGTGCAAAGGTGGTAGGATGGGAAGAATTCCTGGGGTTAGGGCATGAGAGGGAGCAATCTAGAAAGATAAGAGCCTCTAGTCAAGTAGTTAAATGCAGGAAACTGAGTCTGAGGGGGACCTGCAGTCACTGGTAATGACTAAGTCTAAGAATGACCATGGGAATTAATGACTGTGCTAGGGTGAAGGACCAGATCTAAAAGGATGGAGCTCAAGGGGCTGGGGAAGGATTTTCTGCGTGCTAAACTGAGAACGTGGTGGTAGACTACCAACGAGCCAATGCTGAGATCGAATGGGAAGGATACCAGGTGACGGTAGATCACAGCAGTGCTTGATGGTGTAAACCGATAGGATGAGCTTTAGGAAAAGGAGGAAGGCCAAACGTCCAGAAAGAGAATGATGGAGGAGGACACCTACCTGTCTCCAGGTCCAGTGGTCAAAAAGCGGAGAAAAACAAAAACAAAAAAAGGACTTCTGGACTGGCAGTGTCCTCAGAGGACAGCCAGGTGCCTGTTAGAGCGAGAAAACAAAGGGCATTTCAAAAAATAGGGGGAGAATACAGCGGAAATAGTTCAGGAACCGTGGTGGGTGGAAGGAGCGGACGAATTAGGACACGGAGCCTTGGGGAAAGCAGAATGCAAGACAGGAAAGGGGGCCTGCAAAGGGAGGCCTGTCAGGAGCGAGGATAAAGAGCATCTTCCTAGATCAGTCCCAGTGGCTTCAAGTCAAGAATAGAGGGACAGAGTTGAAAGTCCAGTAACAAGTTAACATGTCTATTAGTACCTATAAACTTCCCATATTTTATTTCACTATTTGGATATTTTAGATTGCTCTCTCAACTGAGTTTCTTCCTGAGCGTTGCTTTAACAAGTCATCTTGTTACCCCGAAAATGTGGCTGTTCTAGTTTCATGTGATATTTCACAAGAATTCTGCAGGTTAGATATTCAAGCATGGCTTGACTAGACGCAAACTGACGTCAGCCAGTGGTGTTCCTCAGCTGAGAGAGGGGCTGGTTTGAGAAGTCCAGGATAGCTCTGTTCCCAGACTAGAGCCGCCGTGAGGTGGCTGGAAGGCTTGGCTCAGCTGGGACTGTCACCTGGAGTGTCTCTGCATGGCCTGTCCAGGATGACAGCCTCAGGGTGCGAGGACTTCTTATATGATGACCGGCTCTGCCCAAGCAAGCGTCCTAAGAGTACTTACTGAGCAGAAGCTGTGTAGCCTTTTTGGACTCAGCCTCAGAAGGCAGGCAGTCACGTCCTCCACATTCTGCTGATCACAAAAGAGTCCCTAGGCCTAGCCCAAGAGGAGGGCAATTAGATTCCACCTCTTGGTGGGGAGTGGCCAGGTCACACTGTTGGGGAGCATGGAGAGTGGAGGATATTGTTGTGGCCATCTTTGGCCAATATTATCTGCCCTGGTGACACAGGTGAGACATACCCCTTTGTCATTCAGGTGATGAGGGTAGATATCCCTGAGAAGGGATTCCCAGGTTCAAGCTCAAAATAACTGTGAGTTGTATTTGTCATAAACCATTAAATTTATACATCTCTTTTTTTTTCAGAAGAGTCTAGAAGAGCCACATTGGAAAGTTTATATCAAACCTCAGAGCATTTAGAAGAAGAACTCGGTAAGATAAATCAAGTAAAAAGTTTCTATTGAGTACCCTCATTGTAAAGATACCAAGTATAATAGAATTCTTCAAAAAACAAGAATAATTTCAACCAGCTCTTGATAAGCTAATACGGAAACACTGATTTTATTTATTCATGTTTTCATCATCATTTATCCCCATCCCCTCTTCCACCTCCACTCACCCGCTTCCCACCCCCCACAGGCTCCGCACTGTCGTTCGTATCCATGGGTTCTTGCTCTCTTTTTTTTTCTTTTATGCTCGATCCTCCCCCCTAAACGCGACCCTCCCAGAGCTGGCAGCTTGCTCTCTGGGTCTCTCTATGTTGCTTATTAGTTCAGTTTGTTCATTACATTCCACATATGAGTGAAATCAGGTGCTGCTTGTCTTTCTCAGACTGGCTCATTTCACTGAAACACTGCTTTAAAAAATCAGAGATTCACTTTTCTACATCACAGATGGTTAAGTATTTTTAATCTTTTAAGCTATGCCTGAAAATTACAGAAAACAATAATATTTTTCAAAGTAAGTGTCTTTTACTTCCTAACCCAATATAAAATTTAATTATATAATTTATTTTATTTCTGATTTCCAGATAATCAAAAAAATGAGACTTAAGCCAGCTTTTGACTTAGCAACAAAGCAAGAAGAAATTTATTGTGTCACCCAAGTCTTCAGTTATCTGTATAGGAGTATGTTACAAATAATACAGCTAGAGTTATAATAAAACTATGACTGTGTTTTCATTGGATTTTGTATTGCAGTACACTACTACACATTTTGTCTAAAACATCTAACTCCATGAAAATAAAATATGTCCCAACTGCTTTAATATTAACACTTATCCATAAAATAAACTATATTTTTTTCCTTTTAACCACTATTCCACAAGAATAATGAGGCACGAGTGTCTTTTTAAATTTAATCTTAAGTTCCTTTAAAAATGTTTGGAGCCCTGACTGGTGTGGCTCAGTTGGCTCGACCTCACCCCACAAAGCGAAGGGTTACAGGTTTGATTCTTGGTCAAGGTACACGCCTGGGTTGCGGGTTTGGTCCCTGGTTGGGTCACATATTAGAGGCAACCCGTTGGTGTTTCTCTCTTGCATCAATGTTTCTCTACCTCTCTTTCTCCCTCCCTTCCCCTCTCTCAAAAAATAAATAAAATCTGGAAAAAAGTATTTGGGAAGTTTCATGAGAATATTTTTAATCAAAAGGCCCACATCTTTGAAAACACTTCAGGAAATTAGGTATGTCAAACATAAACCCGTCGGTAAGGTCAACAGAAACCAGGTTTTACATCAAACGCTGAGCGGCCACCCTGCTATCCCGTCTGATAGATTTAATCAAAAGTTTTCTTTGGCGGTTTCTCCTTAAATTTCAATTTGAGTCATTTTTATTGGTGAACCTGATAACAAAATCAAGGTTTTATGATGACAGATGCAAATCACAATTGCATCAAATGCTAGTACTTATGTATAAGAGGTCCCTCCATGAATAATGCAGCAAGGCCCACTCACGGAGGACGGCTACTGTTTACAGTGGTCTCTAATTCCTTTTGGATCTAAATGGCAGCGCCTGAAATACGGCATTCCGTAATGAACTGTAATTACTTTCACTTTCAGAGTCTCCTTTTAAAAGCTGCTACAATATTATGCCATTTCTGTTTTTCATACTCTCTAATAAGATTCGCTAAAAGTGGTTTAAAAATGCATCCCAGATCCTAAGTAAGCAAATATCTTTGTACACCCACACTTTAGGTAACGCGGAAAGTATACTTACTGGTGGATAGCCTACGGTCTAATTTTAAAGGACCCTTCACCCTTCTTCCCTCCTCCTGCTCTTTCCCTTTTGGGGGCCTTCCTTTCCTCTCACAGGAGTCTGACAGCACATCTACATGGGGATGGTGGCATAGTTTGAAGTGTATAGAAGACATATTTGGTTAACTTTCAAGAGTCTCATTTAAAGATAAAATATAGGAAGATTTTAGAAAAAGAAGTGAACATAACTTCCATTAGGTGAAAAGCTTTAAGCCCTTTTTCCAAGTTACTTTAACCCAGATGTTTTAATAAGAACATATTATATTGCCCTGGCTGGTGTAGCTCAGTGGATTGAGCGCGGGCTGTGAACCAAAGCATCGCAGGTTCGATTCCCAGTCAGAGCACATGCCTGGCTTGCAGGCCACGGCCCCCAGCAACCGCACATTGATGTTTCTCTCTCTCTCTCTCTCTCTTTCTCCCTCCCTTCCCTCTCTAAAAATAAATAAATAAAATCTTTTTAAAAAGAATATATTATATTGTTATCACTAACTGAAATTAATCTCCCCTCCCATCCCACCCCCACACACATACCATAGAAGTTATAAAGTGTGCCCTGGACAGTAATGTGGTCATACAATTATTTTTGGATTTTTAATAAAGTTTACCTGAACTGACTAAAAGAAAAAAACCTAAGTATTATAGATGTAATTAACACTTCACTAAGAAGTTGCTCTTCTTCCCACACATCTTGCTTTTGTATCTGGCTTTTCAGACTCTACCTGAGATGGCAGTTCTTTGTAGCAGCTTATCTATAACTTTTATGAAATTGAAAGTAGTTATAAGTTATTGCCCTGAAAACTTTTTATAAATATATACAAATTACCTCAATACTTCTAAAAACTTTATTATTATTTGCTGGGGCAATCTAGAATTTACCAAGTTGAATAAATTTGGCCTCAGAGAACAGTAAGCTTATCACCACTTGAACCCCTAAACTGTAGTGTATGCAGACATACACTAGTGGTCAAAGAAATGCAAATGAAAACATCAGTATGTCCTGGCTGGTGTGGCTCGGTGGACTGAGCGCTGGCCTGCAAACCAAAATGCCATCAGTTCAATTCCCAGTCAGGGCATATGCCTGGATTGCGAGCCAGGTCGCGCTAGTTGGGGGTGTGAGAGAGGCAACCAATCGAGGTGTCTCTCTCACAGGAGGTTTCTCTCCTTCTCTTTCTCCTTCCTTTCCCCTCTGTCTAAAAATAAATAAATAAAATATTTTTTAAAAACCCAATACTCATTTATCAGTGCACAGTTCTGTTGGTCAGAGTCCAAGTAGGTGGGCAGTGATTCTCAACCATTTTCATCTCATGGCACACATAAACTAATTACTAAAATACTGCGGCATGCCAAAAATGTATTTTTTCTGGTCTGACAAAAAATAGATATGATTTTGATTCATTCACACCAGAGGGTTATTGTGTTGGCTGTTGTCATTTTTGTATTTGATAATCTAAGGGAAAAGAGGTCAGTCCCCCTGACTAAATAGTGGGGTATTGCATGTTTTAAAAATTCTCGCGATGCACCAGTTGAAAATCATTAGTTGAGGGTATCATGAGACCAAAATCAAGGTATCTGCTGAGCTGGGCTCTTTTCCTGACAGATCTGGGAGAGAATCTACGTCCAAGCTCATTTAACCTGTTGGTAGAATGTGTTTCCTTGTAGTGGTAGGGCTGAGGCCTCTGTGTCCTGGCTGGCCACCGGCCTCCCTTCTCATAGCCCCTCCCATCCTGGAAGCAATAATGGCATTTGGAGTCCTTCCCTATCTTCAGAGCTCTCTAATTTCCCTTTCTGCCACAGCCAGAAAAAAGGCTCTTTGCTTTTAAGGGCTCGAGTGATTAGATTAGGCTCATCAGATAACTTTCCTATTTTAAGGTCAACTGTGCCATATAACATAATAAAATCATGCTGGTGATATGTCCTCTTAGTCACAGGTTCCTGGGATTAAGGCGGGACATTTGCAGGTCATAAATCGACCTACCGCACCGTGGAACAACATGCAATAACTAAGAATGATGACAATAGGTTTGGAATTTGGCTTGCCCATTCAAACATGTAAGCTAGTTATTAAAATATAGAAATACTTCTGTAGCATTTAGCTGTAGTTCTGCAGTACTGCTTGGGGTCCTCACCTCCCCACCTTCTTCCCAATGCCTGGGGACTCTCCCATTCTCTCCCCTAGCACGATCTCAGCCCCCTCCTGCGCTAGAAATTGAAGGACTGAAGTCTGACACAGCCTGTGCTTTCTCATTGCTTGGTACCTGTGAGGTAGTAATCATGAAATATTTTGAATATCACTCCTGGATTTAGATGTATATTTAATGACAGGAAAGAAGAATATTATATTATTTTTAATTGAGGAAAGAAGACAGTTATTTAGAATGATATGTAGATACAATTGATAGATGATAGATAGATAGATAATATAGATACACACATATATACATGCGGGTTTGTACTGGATTATTTATATTAGTATGTCTAAGAGCAACTCCTGAAATTTATATTGGTTTATTTATATTACTGAATATTTACAGAAGTAATTTCTGAAAGATATACTACAAAATATTAACGGCTGTTATTTTATTTCTAAAATGTAGAATTTCAGGTGATACAAATTTAATTTTTACACTTTCTGTATTTTCAAATGAACATGTATAATTGATATAATAAAAAGAATGTATAATAAAGTCAAAATAATTCCTGGTCTTTTTCTTTTATGACCTTGGGAAGGGGGAGTTCCTCATTTTTTGTCCTTTGTTGCTTAATTGGTAAAATGACCTATATGGCATTTTTCTTCTTTACCAGCTCACAGAGTTTCTAATTGTAAATCTGCCACTCATCCGTATATGCAGGTTCAATGTAGGCTTAAAAAAGCCTTAAGGAAAAGGAAATAGGGAGGGGAAGAAAGAATGAAGGAGGCCATCAGAGCTATAAGACATTGTCTTCATTTTGTCCATTTCACACATTGTAGAAAACTCCCATTTCTTTTTAAAGTGACATAATTCATTCCAGATTGAGATTCCCAATGCAATTATTTATTCCCCTTTGCTCATTGTCCAAGATGCCGTAGGTTTATTGTAGCTTTTAAACTACATGTCCTGACCTGTCATTATTGAAGCGACAAGCAGTGAGGACATGGCAGCTTGCAATGGGCAGAACAAAAAACTGTGTCCATGGAACCAACATTCAAGATGGAGAACACAAGCAAAGTCCTAACAAGTGAGTAAATAAACAAGACATTGCTATAAAAGATTGAAAGAAGCAAATGAGACCTGATGGATAATAATGGGGAAAGGACTATTTTACATAAAGAGGGTCATCAAGGAAGGCCTCGGAGGAGGTGCCATTTGAACTGAGACCTGCGAGATGAGAAAGATGCGGCAGTGTGAACCACCCCCTCCAGAGGAGGAGCAGTCCAGCAGCCGAGTGCAGGCTCCGCGGTAAGAAAGAGTCATGGGGGGGTTCCAGAAGGCGAGGCAGGAAGGCGTGACCCCAGAACAGTGAGCGGGAGAGAGTGGTACCGAGTGAAGTCGGAAAAACAGGCAGGTGCCAGGTCATAAGTATCTTTAGACCACAGTACAGAGTTCAGATTTTCTTCTGAATACCAGTGGGAAGTCGCTTAAAACTTTTAAACTTCGAAGACACGTGAACTTACTTATGTTTTTGAAAAACAGCTTTGGCTGTTGTGTAGTGAGAATACGGGAGGGCAAGAGTGGCCGCTTGGAGACCGTTGGGAGAGCAATTTGACACTACCTAATGAAGTTGAAGGTCCTCGTACCCACGAACCAGCAATCACTTCCGAGCACGTACCCTGAAGAAACTTTCTCCCATATGCACAGGGAGACAAACTGGGAATTTTTACCGTGTCCTTTATCGTAATGAAAACCTGGAAAGTATTTGTTAATATGAAGGGACTATATTGTGACATTCCTGCAACAGAGACTATTTATGGCGGTTAATGAACGACAGGACTGACGTGGACCAGCAGAGATAAATCTCCAAAAACATAGTTTTATACAAAAACAAATGTTGCATAAAAATGCATACATATTATTTTAACAAAATTTTAAAACATGTAAAACAATGTCGTGTGTGTGTGTGTGTAGCTAAGGAACAAAAATAGCACGAGAATAATGAACAGATTCAGGATAGTAGTTATCTCCACGGAGGGAGGGAAGGAAATGGCATCGCGGAGGGATATACGTGAGGCAGCAATTACACCTGTAA